TTCCGATAGTGACAAAAGGCCATTGATCGGCTTTTAGCTGGGGGGTAGCATGACCAAGGTCGAGAGTGTGTGTGTGTGTGTGTGTGTGTGTGAGTATGCACACCTGCGTGTGTCCCTCTGGCTGCATGAAGAAAATGATCATGGGAGGCAGAACTGCCCCCCAAGTCAAAGTGCAGCATCTAGGCGAGAGAAGAACCCCCAGGTACGGGTCTGCAGGTTGCTTATTATACAAGAACACTTAGCCAAGGAAGGTTAAGGGGAACTAAAATTGAGCCTTACTTGCGATTCCCAGGCCAGAAGTCCTGACACGGCTGATCTGGTCCAAGGAGAGGCACCCTTTTCTTATTTGCACAGAGGCATAGTCTGTCCATAAACCGACAGTGGGAGGAGGTGCATTGTTCCGTGTTCCCCAAGGAGCCATCTAAGCTAGCAGAGGCCCATGAAAGACAGTGGTGGCTTGAAGTAAAATGAGGCAGTCAGGATGGTGAGACCTGGACCAGCTGGAGGTAGTTTTGGGGGCAGAAAAGGCAAAAGCTAGACTAATTCCCATCGGGATGAGGATGGGATCCTAGATGACAGCTAGGTTCCTGGCAAGAACCTATAGGAGAGTGCTGCAGAGAGACCAGATCTGGGGACGGGTCAAGCCTTCCCCTCCCTGCAGGTGCAGGCTGCTGGGATCCAAAGCCAGTGGATGAGGCTGTTGAGATGTCAGATCTTTGTCATCCGAGGAGACCTCAGGGTAAAGTTTAACATCAGTTCTGGGCAGTGAATCCATGGCTGTTTGTTCTGTTGTTCTTCTCAGTATACTTTAATGTCTTATTCAAAACATTTCAATGCTGAGCAAAAATTAAGCTGGCAGTCCAATGAGGTGAGCAGAGGACAACTGGATCCTCCTGAAATATTCTGTCCAATATTAACCAGTCAGAAACCTAATAGTCAGCTGAAGGCAAGAGGTTTGTGGGCTGCCCTGTTCTCTGTCTCCCCCATATTCTTGCTGGTTTCTGTGACCTCTCACAAAACTTCATGGCCTTGGTTTATATCCAGGCTGCTCACCCTTTCCAGGTGTTCATGTAACTCATGGTTACTGTGGCTTTCTTAATAGATCCTTGGGTTTTGTTTGGCCTGAAAGATTGACCTATTCATTGAGCAAATAGAGGCCAAGGGCCTGCATGTGCTTGGCCTTGGGCTTGGTATAAAGGGTGCCGATGTCGGAGACATAGCTGCCACCCTCAGAGGACACATCTGATGGGGCTCTGGGGACAGTGCAATGAAGGGGACATTCCAATCCATAATCACTTTGTTAGAAGGCCAAGCTTGACAGTTAGGAGTTTTAGGTCATAAGTATTGAAAAACGACCTAATATTGGCTTACGTAAGAGAGGAAGGCTCATGAAACTGCCAACTGCAGGACTAGAGACTGTGACCAAGGTGGGTTTACCTCATGGTGTTTCTGCTATACTTTACGTGGTGTCAGCTTTTCCCCCAGACTGGCTACCTTCACAAAGGCTGTTCGCCAGGCCAACAGAAGCTATCTGTCTCCTGTTCTCCACTAGTAGGAAGAGGAGGGCTTTATGCCCTAGCATTCCCAGTGTGGGGGTCTTAAAATGAATCTTGATTAAGTTCAAGTTCACTCACATTTCCTGGGGACTAGATGTACATTTCACAGCAGGAGTCAGCTTGGTTATCTTTTTTTAATTGCCAGAGAGTGTATGTGTGCCTGTCAGAGAGGGATCAGGGTTGGGGGAGAAAGCACTCCCTAGTGGGTTATGATCACATCACAATCTCTTCTCCATCCTGATGGTATTTGGGGTACACAAGTACATGCTCCTGGCGTGTTTCTCAAGGTTTCAAACCACCTGGTCTGGAACTCCAATTTCAGTGAGCCGTGTGGGGTCTGATTTCCTTAACTGCTAGGCTATGGAGTGACCCTTGTAACTTGGTTATCTTTGTTTTTGTTTGTTTATAAGCCAGAGAGTACAGCTTGGTTATCTTAAAAGGGGTGGCCCAGCCAAGGTGGTCAGGTGGTAGGGTGCTAGGCTAAAGCCACATGAGAGGCCATTTGGATTCCAGACCAACCTAGCACAGGCCAGGTGCAGTGGTGCATGCCTATAATCCTAGCACACTGGGTGGCTGGGGCAGGAAGATCATGGCATGATAAGACCCTGTCAGAAATGCTTCCCTCTGGGATCAGCAATTGGTGTAATGGCTATGTCGCTGGGCTCCCATGTAGTTGACTGCAGTTCGAGTCCTTGACCCAGTGGCTTAAACTCACACCGGGTGCGTGTGCGTGCATGCCCAAGATCCTGAGAGGAGAATGAAGGAGAAGGGATTGCGGTGTGGCCATCCCCCCGGGGGGTGATTTCTTGCTTTCGGTCTTTCTGTGTCTCTGTCTTTCTGGCAAGCACATGCGCCCAATAGCAAAAACCTCTCAAAAAAAAAAAAAAAAAAAAAAAGCTTCCCTCTTGGGTCAACCCATGATCCAGTGGTTAGGCAGCTGGATCCTGCATGGTTGTGCAGATCAAGTGTCTGATCCGTTGGCTTGAAAAACAGTGTGTGTGTGTATGTGTGTGTGTGTGTACACCCAAAATCCCCAAAGGAAGGAGACATGGGTAAGGGATTGTGGAGTAGCCATCCCCAATGAGGATGCTTACTCTCTTTCTTTCTTTCTCTCTCTCTCTCTCTCTCTCTCTCTGCCTATGGGCATATGAATGTATGAGTCTATGCACCATGTAGCAAATTAAACAAAAACTTCCTTCTCTATATTCCTCTCCCTACATCTCCTTCTCTCTTATTTAAAAATAAATAAATAAAAGTGGTTAAGGGAGGTGTTCTGTCCCAAGAGTACCAGCATCCTAGTGGGAAAGGAGGACAAGGCGGGTTCTGTGGCCTGAGAATTAAGGCAGCCAGATCCCATATGTCCAACCTGCAGTTCAAGTCCCATCCTTAGTGCCTTGAGAGACGAGCTAGGTGCATGTATACCCAAAATCTTGAAAGGAGGGTGAGATGGAGGAGAAGGGATTGCATCATGATCATTTCCCATGGTGGGGGGCAGGAGTAGAGGGGTGCTTTCTCTTCTTGCTCTCTATCTCTCTCTGATAAGCATACACACCTTTTAACAAAGAAAAAGAGAAAATAAAAGAGGACCACTGTGAACTCAGGAAATGAAGGGGTGAGTCTCAAGTAAGCCCTGTCCACAATGGGGTTTGCTAGGTAATGGGTGCTGGCTGGCAGTGCCCACCCACACTGTGCCTAAGTGGATCTGCAAAAAAAGATAAGGCCCCAGAGTGCAGCTATCTGGAGCCCACACACCCCGCCTCTTCGGTTGAGCTGCTTATGGAATAGGCAATAGGAGGAGGTAGATTGTTCTGATGAGGGAGATGAGGGTCACTATGGTTTGAATGTGTGCCCCCAAAATTCAGTTTTATGAGCCATTGAAAGGGTGCTGAGAGGGTGGAGACTTAATCTGATTATGGTGTTGGAAGATGGGGGCCTTTGGGTAATGATTAAGCATCAGGGTGGGCCAACATGTTGGAGTCCTGGTGGACTCATGAACAGAGAGAAGGAGGTAGGTGGAGATGCACTCACTCTGCCCCACACACTCTGCTCTCTCACCTTGTGGTACATTGTGTTTGCCTGTACGCCCTGGGAACTCTGTAACAGGAGGGCCCTCAAAAGATGGGGCGCCTGGACTTTGGACCTCGGACCTCTGACATTTGAACTGTGGACTGAAAAACCTGCTGTTGTATATAAATTACCCAGATTCTTTTTTAAATTAATTAATTAATTTTACAATTAAAGTATAAATTTATTTTGGTATAAAAACTTTTTGAAATTCATACATAGTTTTGCCATTACACGTATTTCCATGAGCTTTTTTTTCTAAAATTATTTTTAATAAATTAATTTACATTTATTCCCTAAGCATCATCACAGCATACAAAATGTGATTTCCCATCCAGAATATACTGCATAGTGGCTTAATCATGCATGTTATCATCAATAATTTTCCATTTCTAGTTTTATATATATCTATATATATATGTGTATATATATATTTTTAACCCCTATTTCTCACCCTCTGCCCTTTTCCACCCTCCTCCCACACTATCTCTGCTGTCTACAGCTGTTTTCCATTCCTTTTTCCTCAACATTTTATTAATCCCACAATTTCTTATATACTCTAACTACTTTCAATAGCATGTTTAGCTGGTACTTTCAAGAAAAGCAGTTTGGGAACAGCAGTTAGCATAATGGCTATGTCACTGGACTCCCATGTAGTCAACCACGGTTCGTGTCCTGGACCCGGTGGCTTAAAACTCACGCTGGGTGCGTGTGTGTGCGTGCCCAAGATCCCGAGAGGAGAATGGAGGAGAAGGGATTGCAGCGTGGCCATCACCCTGCCCCCCGCTTTCTGTTTCTCTGTCTCTCTCTGTCTGGCAAGCGCACGCACC